AAAGTCCAATAGTGGAGTAAATGGGCCAATTCTTTCTTAATTTAATAATCACTTGAACAGGCTTGAAATAATGAGGCTTGGCATTTGGTAACATACATACGGAAATTGCAAGACTTGGAGGGCAAGAGAATTATTTAGTGAGGAAATTATATACGCAGCCACGTATCATACTAGGAGGGGAATTAATTGGGGGCCGCCTAACTCACGCATAGAATTTATTTACGAGAAGAGACCTCAGCAGGAAAAAAGATGCCTCATACGGAACAAAACAGAAAGACGAGGAAGTCGATCAATTGCGGACTCGTACACGAGGGAGATAATTAATCTCTCTCTTTTATCTTTTATTTGTTTTTATTTATTATGTTAGAGTAGTTCTTTTATTCTAGTTCCGGGGAAGTTGAACCCTACGACTTGATGATGTTTGATTAATTTATGGTTGATTATTGAGTTATCTTTTTGGAATTGCTTGTGTTATTTTGAATAATTAACCATGATGTGTTGAGTCTTACTTAGATTGATCACCTAGATTAGGTTTTACATATCTACACCTGAATTAGGCCTTCAATCCGCAATTGTTAATGTGTTAATTTCGCAAGTGGTATCCAGAAGATGGTAACTACCGGGGATAACACGACCTATTTAAGTGAAGGAACGCGTCACTACTTAGTCTAGACTATTTTTCTAATACGTAAAGCGGCTAATTGTATTAAATCTGAAAAAAAAAATTCTGGACTGTACAAGAAGTCAGGTCTAATCGTAGAGCGCCTCGCGGTTAGATTAAAAATAAGGAAAAATTCGGGTAACAGACTGTGTCGTTGCCTAGGGCTAGTAATTTCATAAGATAACGAGATTTGATACCAGAATCGATTAGATGAGGCAGTCGAGGGTATAGATGGAACCGTGAACTTGAAAATTCTCTTATTTATTTTATTTTATTTTTATTTTTATTGTTTTAATTTCATTCTTAGATAGATTAGTTATTAATTCAAAATCCCCCCTTTTATTGCTTTCATAATAATTTCAAGTAATACGAGAAAATTCACGATTCGATTCACACGCCCTGTGGGATCGACCCTTGCTCACCACTACTACTAGTTAATAGAGGTCGATTAAGAAAAATATAAATTATAATTTTGCCGCGTTGCGACGCGCGGTCATTGACATATTATCATTAAGTTTCCCACATGTGTGCATTTAATGCTTTGCAGGTAATCATTGGAGAAACCTCATATCACATTTAATGCCTATCAGAGCGGCCCGACCTATCACGTGAGTTACTATGCGAAGTGATGACAGGGTGAACAGTACCAAACCAAGAATAATATAAATAGAAAATCCATTTCATTTATTGTTGTTGTTGAATATTGCACCAACTAATTCTCTCTCTACATTTACTCTTCTCAGTCTGTAATAATTTCCCGTGAATACTCAAAGTGTGATTAAAGTGCCGACTGTGACATCAGAGGCCGACCTGGTAATTAATATGACAAGCCTAATTTTCCCGTATATCTTTCTTAACCCTATTCTTATCATCGTTAAGTCTTTATTTAACCGTTGATCGGATCCTACCATCAACAATGTCCTCGAGTGAAAGTTCTACTCCATGTTCTTCCTTATCAGAGAGTCTAAACCTAAGAATTATCCGTTATGTCCTAAGCCATCGGCTAGCAAGAACACCAAACTCAACTTACACTAAACGCTCTAAGAGAGATGGATCAGATGTAAGTATGATCGATGCAGAAAAAGAAGTAAACAATCAGATATACAAGGAAACAATGCAGATAACGCATAACAACCAATGTGGCACACCACCAACAAAAGAGAAATAGTTAGAGAACAACACAACAACTTAACACCCACAAAAGAAGAAACAAAAGAGACCAACACAGGACCTAAACTCTACCTAGCGGGAAGAACACAACGAGAGGGGAATTTGAAGGAAATCCAAAATCTGGAACTGAAATCTCACGAGGAGAAGGAAACCGTAAGAAAAGGAACTCTCGTACTTTTCAATTCGACGACAAACGAGGAGTTACTATGTCGAAAGTGACGGTGATTATAACAAAATCAAATCTTAACTTTTGCTTCTCAAGTTTGTATTATGTTTAAAAACTCATAAAAGAAAAAATAAAGAAACATTTCACACAAGAGTCTTCCTCATATAAATATGAAGAAGTTTTTATTCCATTAGCAACCAAACAAAGCACACACACACACAAAGTCCATCACCAAACAAAGCACGCCCATGAACGCGCACATTACATTATTCAAACAAGCACACACACACACACACAAAGTCACACTCACATTTTTGTTTATTAAATTAGGAGCACACAAACATAAATAACATTCACATATTATGAAGTTCATTTAATCTTCTTGGTAATCTCCTGATAATCATCATCATTGACCTCTTTGTCCTTGAGGAGGAACTTAGTCCACCACATGGCCGAGTCCTTGCGGTACCTCTTGAGGTCGTTCTTGTAGTCAACGTACAAGATTCCGAATCTTGATCTGTACCCATCGTACCATTCGAAATTGTCGCAATACGACCATGCGAAATACGACTCAACCTTCACTTTCTCTTCACTAGGCATTCGAGTTGAGCATAAAGGGTTACATAAAGTTTTCGTACGTCAAGGAAATCGACATCTAAATCTAAAATTGTTTCGTAATCGAACGTACTTGATCGCTTTCAGAAGATAGGCGAGATGGTCACGGAAATAGTTCACTCTTTGAGTGTCCCTACAAGCTTGGAAAGGAGTAAGCTTTGGGTCATTCTGCTGGTCACAACCTAAAACACAATAAAGAGCACATAGAGAATTAGTTAATTAATTATGCTAATACTATAGTTTTTTAATTGAAATTAAATGATTATCAATTTATGATTATTTTTTCTCAATTAAATTAAATTAAAAATTAGTTACCATTTTCAGTAATGTAGATGGGAGGGAGATTGCAAATGGGATTGTCGTATGTGTCCTTCACGTGTTTAAGGAGCTTCCAAAATGCCCACGGGACTACGTACAGCCAGCTTGAACCAGTCTTTCAAATATAAATAAAAAAAAAAGAAAACAAAATAAT